TTCGGAGACGATTTACTTTCGAGCTGGCTCGTTTCCTGTCCGTACGAACTCGTGATGTTTTTAAACGTCATGGACTGCTCATGGATCAATTTCCACCCCGGCCAATAGGTTGGGATTTCGATAGTAGTACAAACGAAAACGATCATCATGATGGCGATGAGGGAAATTCGAGTGGCAACGATGAAGGAGGAGGAACAGAGGGAACAAGAGGAGGACAAGACAGAGACCAAGACAGCAGTCGAGAAGGGAATCATGGCGTGGAAGAGAGCAAGAGCTTCGAGCCAGAGGACCTCCCGCACAACAAAAGACGGAGAGACAGACAAGAAGAAGAGCTGCCAAAAAGTTGCTGCCAAAATGACGATGAGAATAGTGATGGTAGTAGTGGTGAAAGCAAGAAGAATGATAGAGAGAGCACTCCTAAACGAAGTCGAGTGCAGGGTGACAGTCTTAGTAGACACGTGCAGTTTTCTTCTGTTATTACTACGGTATCTGTCTTTAATCCTGAGAATAGCGTAGCTCCCCCTACGACGCTCGGTCCCGGGGTCCCAGATAGTGGACTATAGAAACATTTTGTGTTTCCCGCCGCACTGAGACTGACGTCTTTTCAGTGGTCAGCCGGTTAGCGCCGTCGATGCTAATAATAAAAGCACACACACAACTACGTACCGTCCTAGCTGCATTTTCAACAAATGGTCTTGGCAAAGGCACCAATCGACTCATCGTTGCTATCGCCAAACACTTGGCGCACGAAGCTTTTTGCCGGGGGAATTTCGACGACGAAAGAGCGTTAGTCCGCCTGAAAGCTTTTCATACCTACAGGATTCGGAGACGGTTTACGTTCGACCTAGCTCGTTTTCTGTCGATGCGAACTCGCGATGTGTTCAAACGTCATGGGCTACTGATCGACCAACTTCCACCAGGGCCAACCGGTTGGGATCTCTGCGACAACGATAGTNCGAAAGAGCGTTAGTCCGCCTGAAAGCTTTTCATACCTAGACAGGATTCGGAGACGCTTTACCTTCGAGCTAGCTCGTTTTCTGTCCATGCGAACTCGCGATGTGTTCAAACGTCACGGGCTACTGATCGGCCAATTTCCACCAGGGCCAATCGGTTGGGATCTCTTCGACAACGATAGTGAAGAGGATAATTCTTTTGGGAGTGACGGAGACGAAGGAAATAAAAAGGGAAGAGGAGGACTAAGGTGACGGTGGAGGAGGAAAACATGAGGAGTGTAAGAGAGCAAAGGGTTTGAGCCAGATGACCTTCCCCAAAAGAAAAAACGTAGGACTAGGGAAGAACTGCCCAGAGATTCTTGTCAAAATGATGATCAGAATGATGGTAGCGAACACAAGGAGGATAGACTAATGGTGAAAGTACTCCAAAACGAACTCAAGTACAAGGTAGTAGCCTTGGTAGACATGTGCAGTTTTCTTCTGTTACTGCTGTTTCTGTCTTTGATCCGAAGGATAGTTTAGCCTCCCCCATGCTGCCCCCTCACGGGGTCCCAGTTCATGGCAGATAAAAGTGTTTTGCGTTTTCAACCGCACTGAGACTGACTGTCTTTTCATTGGTCAGCCGGTTAGCGCGGTCGATGCTAATAATAAAAACATACACAACAATGGGTGGCGTAGGAGCACCGCTCGATAAACGGCTATGAAACGGCTACGAAATCGTGTACTATCTCCAAGAGTTTGAGCGCCACAGAGTCATACTCGAAGGCGAAAAATGGCCAATCTGAAAAAAATGCCTCTTCAAGTTTTTTTCGTGCGCAAGTTTTTTTCGTGCTGCGCGCGAAAAACAATAAAATTCTGGGTTCCAACGTTAAATTGACACGAAAATTTTGGGCTGAGATTGATTGACACCACACAAAGTGACGGTTGGCAAATTGACACGAAAAGGGTAACGGGTGGTAGATTGGTAAATTGACTCGAAAAAATATTCCGCCGCACGTTGCCTGGCGAAGGCCAGCAGCGGCGTAACCTTAAGTTAAAAAAAAATCAACCCCAGCTGCACCGCTGCACCGCCGGGAAACCCAACGGTCGCGCTCCCTCATCACCGCACCCGACACGGAGCGAGGGGATGGGACGCCTTGCGCGAGGTAGAATCCGCTACGAGCGGTATGATGTGTGCATGCAGGTTCTTCTGCTTGCTGTGTTGTGCGCGCTAGCTGGAGAGGAGGACATATTCCTCGTGATGGCCATGTTTGGCGTAGCAAAGCTGGAGACAGACATTTTTTTTTTTTTTCTCCCATCATTGGACTCTGTCGTCTGCCTCTCTGGCCCCTATCCTCCACTTCTACTAGCTAGACGACCCAACCGGGGTTACATAGGAGGGGGGGGCTGGACCCCCTCCTGCGGTTCTTGCCTGAGGTATTTTTATCGCGAAAAGGGTTGCAGCAATCCCTTCCCTCGCGACTTGCGAAGTCGATTATGGTTTACTAACAACGAGCTTTGCAGCTCGACGCTTTCATCCCAGACCAGGATTTATTCAGTGAGAAAAATACTCTAGACCAGTGAGAAAAAACTCACTCTGCCGGGACTCGCACCCATGACCCATGACCTGGTCATTAGAAGGCTGCGAGGTTACCAAAAACACCACCGGGGCGACCGGGTGTTCAGGTTTCCTCTCGACTCCCGAGAACTACACTCCGCGAACTACACTCCCCAAATCCCGACCGCCGCCAGCGGCTTCGCGACCCTAGTACGTGCGCCCAGAGCTACCGTCTCTTCCGCCAACAACTATAACCTCTCCCTTCACGGGCGGGGCACCCGACTAGCTGCTGTTGTGGTTATCACCCGTGTGCTTCGAGTCCAGAGTCCAGACAGACCAACCTCGGCGTGTTTTGTTCTCGATCCCGCGATGAACGCACACGATCCCAACCGCGGCTTGACGTTCCCCTAACGCGATGTACTCCCGGGAGCGTTGTGTTCATGTGTGTGGGTGTGGGAGAAGCTACGTGCAAGCTTGCCGACTGAGTTGATGCCTTCGTGTGTGTGCGATGGCGCTCGTGTCAATTTGCGGTTTGCTCGTGTCAAAATACCTCAGGTGAAAATATTTTCACCACATTTTAATAAAAAAATTATTATTATATAATATATTATTATTATTAGACTATTTTTCTTAATATGACACAACGAGTACATCTCCATCATAGAAAAGAGTCATAGACAGATTAACAATGGAATCATAGAGTCAGAGAAAACTACCTGTATGTCTACGATTTCACAGACAGCATATAGGGACATCTCCCCTGCGGGTAACAGACTCAACAAATCAGTTTGGTAGCTGTCTTGTGTGTCTCATATATGTTATGTTGGGAAGGTGCAGACGAGAGGTGTTGGGTACTGTTAGTCGGGCGTTTTGTGTGTGACCTGTGATTCTGACATGAAAACGTGCGGCGTAACCTCTCGTGTCAAAATTCTGACGTCTCCTGTCAAAATACTGATCTCGTGTCAAAATTCCTGACACACGTGGGACCCATGTAACAGCCCAGATTGTCACTATTAATGGTTGCTGAGCCCACCGCCAGGGTGCAAGGCACAGCACGCCATCACGCACAGCACGCCGACGACCCCGATCGGTAAACAAGAGAGAGGTTTGCGAACATAAGCGTCAGAAGAGGGAGTACAGGGAGCTCTATCTCTTCCCCAGGTGGGCTGTTAGTTGTGTTGTGGTCCTTGGTCGCAAAGTGCCGCGTTGAACTCTCGCCTTCCGCAGCCATGGTCTCCCGGTGATTCCTTGGGCGCCCATATCTCACGCAGGTGGTACTGGACCAGACATATCCATCCCTATGCAGTTGCTGGAATATCACGGGAATCACCAACGAACTGGATCAAGCAAGGTGTATCTTGCTTGATCCCGCTTCGGTCGAGGCGACATTGATCGTGGAAGGCAAAGTTGATTCAGCAATAGAGCAGGTTTTTCCACCTCGGAACCCTGTTGGACCCAATCGTGGCCCCCCGAACGCCGCGTGTCGATGTGAGGCCAGTGCACAGCAGTGTATAGCGGCTGCTTTCGTGTGTACTTAGTTCTATGTAGGGCAGGGGGAGTATTTTCCGCCCTATGGAGACTACATGGAAAGACCACCAATTTGACCAACTGGTTGCCACATATGCACCCATACATCTGCACATCTGCTGGCCTTCGCTGAACACATCCCACACTTGAAAGATAGGAACGTAGCGGCAGCTAATCGATGAAACTGTCGTCAGACGTGTGCGTCCACGGGCGGAAGTGCGTGTTACTGAGGCGTAGTCTGATGTATCGACTCCCCAAATAAACAAACGAACGAATCGGTGGAAGAAAAATTCCCGATCGGTAAAAAAAAATCGGCCCAAGAAAACGTAAGCGTTCCCGATCTCTGAATGCACTCCTTGCTTGACACACACCAGGTCGAACTGGCTTTGCTCACAATAGGACGGTGGTACAAGCACAAAAAGGAACACCAACACTAAGGACAGCACACTTGTGAAGACCCTGTCCACTCGGCCTGCTGTTTTCAGCACTGGGGCAGGGACCAATGTCACAAACTGGGTGTCGCCTTCTGCTCAATTTTCCCCTGGTGACCCAAACTGCTGTGACCCCCATTTTTTTTCTGCTCCATGTCGAGAGGTAGACGAACTCAACAATCATAGAGAGGCGGCGCTGAGGGTCAGTATCATGTACATGACCAATCCGAAAGAACGAGCGTGTCGGATGCCCCATTGCTTTATTGCTGCCTTGTGCCGTGGGTTTGTCTGGCTGTCTCTGACCCAAAACAGGCCATCTCCCCGCATATTTTCAAATATCAGTTTGGCGAGGTGGTCCACATCTCTCACACACCTTCTAGAGCAGCACCCAAACCCCCAATACCCACGAAGTAGCACAGCGCCGGGAGTGGAGATCATATGGACAGCCGAGCCGAAGGAATCAGCGCTTTGGAGGCCTTTGAGCTGCTGCTGTCCTCATTTTGCTGTTTCCGTGCATGCCATGTGCGGTACAAAAAATCCCCGCGCGTCGACAGCAGCAGTCGAAGACGAGGGCAGCTTGCAATGTGTCGGTTTGGACAAAAAATGACCTGAACGGCTCGTCCCGCTGTTCTATCCGTCGTGCCCGTTGTGCATGTATCGCTGTGCCCGCTGTGCGTGTGTTGTCTGCTGTGCGTGTGTGCCTGTGCGTGTGTTCTGCAGCTAGCTGCAATCTGCTGTGTGCTGAGAAAAAAAAAGGTGCTGACCCCCTGTTATTCAAGTGATGTACTCTAAAACCTAGAAAAAGCGTTACAGACACACGCAGACCCTTTATTTCTTGATGGAGCGCTATTTAGGTTGCGGCAAGGCCTCAGGCCAGATTAGAAATCTCGCATCGCTCGAGTATACTTCAAAAATGTTTTGCTAGGGTGCTAGTACGGCCTTGAACGAAATATCGTCCAGTCGGTTCGAACATGTTCGCCAAACCCGGAGAATCTGTCGATCCGACGACGCCGTTTCAAAACCACTTTGCATTTACATGGACGTTGTTTTGTGTCCAATTCTATCTCTCATACCCAGGGACATCGTAGATCTTCACGTCTGACTTATGCATGCATGTGTGGACAGACGTTTGTACTGCCTGCTCTCCTCCTTTTCTCTACACTATGCGACCGAAAAGCTGTTAGTTCGACAACGTTCGCTCGGTGTTTTTTCTGACACCGGAGTAGCTTCGAGTCTTGAGAATCGAAGCGTACACCATTTCACCTGCCTCGGTGTTCCGGCGGCACAAAAAACACACATTTTCTTCGCGTACGCTGCCGTCGAGCACTGGGGCACCAAAAGTCGTCTCTTCACCTCATTTTTTGCCTCGCCATGGACTCCAGTCCTTCTGCCAATCAAAAGACAAACCGTCGTCCCTTTCGCGGCTCGAAAAGTCGCCCGGCACAATCTCGCCAAGTGGAAAGCCAAGTTCAAGACAAGAACCGGAAAGAGCGTGGCGGACGCATTTGCAGCCTCTATCATAAAGCGTGCTTTGGAGAAAGCTGAGCGTGCTGTGGAGGGGCTCCTCGAGATCGCGATTCAGCAGGGTGGCAAGAGCAATAGTGCAGCGGGAGAAAGCAAAGAAAAGCTACCTCGGAGTTGGTGAGCAAACTCACGTACGAGAAGGCTGAAGAAGAACCGCGAAGGGCTCAAGGACCCTCAAAAAGCGATGAAGAAGAATCGTGAGGAGGCAGAAAAAATACACAAGATAAAGGCGAACGCGGATGCTTCCGACAAAAAGGTATGTGTGTTATTTTCACCGGATATATTATCCTTCCATCTTTTTCTGGTGTGTGTCGCTCCTTCTTCTGACTGGTCCCTGCCTCTCTCATGCCCCTTCCCTTCTGCACTACTGCTGAAATGCTTTTCTGGTGCTTGGTTCCAGCAGCATTTGACGCAGATGGCGCTGCATTCGTTTTGGAGTGTGTGGATTGGTCGTGAAATCATTCGAAAGTCAGATGCAGAACAATAATCTTCCCTCTCTCGCCTCTGCCGCTGCTTCCGCTGCTTCAATACACAGGCTGCACGATACCAGCGAGCCGCTGCGTTGTCGAAACAGAAAGGAAAAGGTCGCGGAGATGGAGATGGAGCAGGATCAGGGGGGAAGTCAGGTCCCACCGCTGGAGGGGGTGGTGCTGCCGGCGTTGGAGGTGATGAAGCCGACGGGAAAGATGCTAACATCAGCAAGCAAATAATGAAGAATCGCATGTTGCGCCGCCTCTGCGATGCCGGTGACGGTGAGGTTGGTGTGGCCGACGGGGAAGATGCTGACTTTGACGAGCAAGTTAAAAAATCGTCTTGCGCACACTTATGCCAAAGAGATCTTTCGGCGACACGGCGGCGGGGATGTTCGAGAAGTTATTGCAACTTGGTACCCCCCTCGACTCCATTGGTTCATCGTCCATCATGGAGCACTCCCTCGGCGTGCGAATAAAGGAGGATCTCAACATGACCATTGATAGTGACACGGTCGAAACCGACTGGATGCCATCATAGCGAAGCGGCCAAAGCGAAAGCGTGGCCGAGGAAGGGCCACGTCTGACAGCAAGGGGGGAAAGGGCGGTGGTGGTAGCGGGAGCGGAGCTTCTATCAAGAAAGTGCGGGAAGGAAGAAAAAGCACAGGATAGAAGAGGGCTACACGGAACCAGACGGAACACATTAGGCGGGAACATCATCTTGCGCCGCGGCCGCTGTTGCTGCGGCCCACAACAAAGGAGCAAGGCCAGTTCGCAGAACAGGTTCCCCGTGAGGCGCTCAAGCGCCATGGCGCTCGCGATGGGCGAGGGCGGAGGGGGGGGCCGAAAAGAGATTTCGGATGAAACTTACTCCTTCGAAGAGCGCTGAGCTGTTGTGTTGTCTTGGTTTCGTTTGCTTGGTTGGGTTTGTGGGGGTGGTGAATCGATTGTTCTCCGGCAGATTCGAACACCAGAAAAAAAACGCTGTCAGTGCGTAATGTTGACTAGCAGCAATTGAAGTTCATTATGTACCCTGCACATGCCCGTAAAACAGCGAGGACGGGGTTGTCTCTCGATGGACGCATCAGCTGACTATGTTTGCATTTTGAGTTTCTTTGTGGGATATTCTTTTCGTGGAGAGAAGAAACGCTCCAGTCGCTTGATATTATTGTGTCGCTAGTTGGCAGCACGAAGCGATGAAGCTAGAAATGGCTACGCTTTGGCATTTATTTGTGAGAAGAGGAAGAAAGAACAGGTCGATGACCTCGTCATTAGTCTCTGCAGCGACAAAGTGCAGCCTTCAGCGGCACAAAACGTACTGGCAGAAGCAAAATGGCGAGAGCTAGTATGTTTTGCAGCGCAACCTTTCTCGCAACACGCACATGCTTACGCACAGCACCAAATACATGCGGAACCGTCACTCAGAAATGCCCTTGGGCGTCCGGCCCCCTCCGAAGGCAGCGTCGAGGAAGATGCGCCGAAACGATCGATCACCCTGTCCCCGTCGGCAGACTCCGCGAAGCCTGCATTTGCCGAAGTCGTGCCGTTGCAGGAAAAAACGAAAAATAGTCCAACCGTCATCTGTCGCTCTGTCGGTGGCAGTCCCGACCTAGTCTCTACCGAGCTGGTGTGCCCAGAGCTCTTCTCACCCCAATATCAATGGCCCTCTGATTTCCTCCAGCCACGTTCCTTTGAGAAGTGTCGTCGCAAACTCCCGGCCAACCGGCTGCGCCAATATCCCCCCTCCCTTCAACACCCCCCCAATACCTATATTGAGGAACAGCGAAGGCGCACCATTCACAAGTCTTGGTGCCTCCTCATCCAGTTCGTCCATTTGCCGCGCACAATTGAAGAACTCCTCAGGCTTCGCTGAAGGTGACCATGAAATGCTCAGTCTGCATAAACATACGGCATTCTGAGGAGCATAGGATTGGTCAGTACCAGTAATAACATGAGGTGGCAGCAACACATTTCCGTTCGATTTGGATATTACCTCTAACTCGTTACCATTCTGCGATTGTGTGTAAAAAACGCTGGAAGGACTTGGGGTACAACCCGCAGCAAAGAGAGAGCAACGCATTTAAACACGTTCGGAGGAATTTTCCTTAAAGTTATGGAAAGCACAGTTTTTCAAACACAGCAGCAACGAGACAAAGCGGGAGACGGCGTACAGCGCCGACCTTCGTCCTGCGTGTGCTGTCTCGTCCCTCTGGTTCATACAGACAAGGAGACTAACCATCCCTTGCCCCCGCGACATCCAACGCCGAACGTTGCTTACCCTGGATGCAGCACGGTCACCCGAGGATGGCAGGCTCAGATGTTGTAGCGCCAATCGCTCTCGGGGCTTTTTTTTTATTGGCCAGTTACCTGAATCTCAATGATCCGGACTGGATCTTGTGGTCCACGGCCTATGCTCTCGGTGCGGTGGTTTGCGGCCGGTCCGCGCTGCAGGCGGCCGGGGCGGTTGGGCGGGGAGCACGAGGGACTGCGAAGGACGATGGTTCGTACACCCGCAGGTGATAACATGTAGTCAGCCGTTGCAGGACGCGGGGGATCCAGAGGAACCAATATAGCAGGAATGTTTCGACACTGTTGGAGATACAACGCTGCACGGGTCTGGAGAGGGGGATGAGCGGCAAGACTCACAACAGCGCACATTTTGCTGGACACTAGGTCGGTCGCTTAACCTGGAGCGGAGCCATTGTTGCAGCTTGTGACTTGTGTTGTGAGACCAACGGGCATTGTTGCAGCTTGTGACTTGTGTTGTGAGACCAACGGGCATGCAGGAGAGTATGACGCGGAGACGCTCTTTATTCTATTGTTGGCGTTTCGGACACCCCAGTCCTGTCCAAAAACAGAGGAGCTGCCTGTCTCGATTAAGTAGTTCTATTGAATCTCCACATACCCTTGATTATTGTTCTATCGACCTTTGGGTGCCGTTTTTTGTATTTTTGCGGGAGCTGGGATGAAATAACACAATCGCGCACCAAACCAATTCCTCGTAATCCGTCCAAGCTTTTTCGAACCTCTCAGGATGACTGCCATGGCCTATGGGGCGGCGTGCCTGGGACTGGCAGGACACAGCGCTTTCTTGGCACCGCGAGGCGAGCCTCTAGAAACCGGTAACGACGGCGTTGTCTTGACTTTTCTCAGCAGCGAGGTTGCCCGGGAGGCCGGCGGCGCCTTCATCCTGGCTCAGACCATGGCAATGTGAGTATATATCAGGGTGATTCACATTTCCGCGGGGACGTTTCGTCTTGTTGACAACGCTCTGTCTGTGATGGCTAACCGAACCCGCATAAACGCGTTGTCCTCCGTGTTGTGCTTATCAACCCTTGAGCCTGCTCAAGGCGTACGCCGCCTCTCACTCGTCACTGCTCGTGCGCCGAAGCCGAGGAGGAGTGAAGCGAAGCGGCACGCTTAGCTGCACGCAATTACAGGCGTCCCGGGAGGGCTTCAGACTTGAACGACCTGTACTAGTACTCGTCTCCGCGTGTTTTGCCATTTAACACCCTGTTGCCAATCATCATTCGACGCCCGAAAATGCTTCCAAGGTGCGCGTTTGTCTGGCGACCGAGAGATGCAACGGCAACTGGTGTTCCTTCCACGCCCGGAAGGGCCGTGATTGGGGTCGTGAGCGTCGCGGTAGCGCTTGCCGGAGTTCTTCTTGGCGTGTATTTGCCGGGGTATCTTCAGCGCGCGGGAATCGCGGTACCTGCCCACTGTGGGGGCGCGTAGTTGGAGTGGTTGTTGTTGGGATTGTTCAAAGGTATGGGTGTATAGGCTATAATATATTTTGTGTGTCGCTGAGCTGGTGTTAGGGGTCGTTTGTCGAGCGACAGGCATTTCTGAACCACGGCAACCAGAGGCATCTGCGTCTGCTTCTGCGCTGTACGGTACTCTGTTGAGCTGTGCGAGCAGCACGACCGTTGTAGATTTTGTGGTCAGACAGCTTCCTCACCCCGTAGAGGGGCACCCGCTTCTGAGGTGTCAACTCCTATTCCAGGAGCACGAGGTCCCTGTTGTGACAAGCATAGCGTTGAACAAGTTCATTCAACAGAGCAGCCGTCGTGCATTACTGTATTAGAGGGCTGTTTGTTGTATGCATACCATGGGGATGGCAGTAAACTGCTGCTTCTGCTGCGGTGCTTGTTCTTGTTCTTCCGGCTTTTGCGCATGGACTCATTGCTAAGGCAAACGGACTTCTTTTGGACTACAAAGGTACAAAAAAACAGTGTGTCATTCGTCTGGCTTCTCCTTCACGAGCCGTGCGTTCTCAAAATCTTAGCAACTGAGCTCGTGTCCGCGACCGCAATCGCAGCATACGGTACTGTGAAGCTGGTGACCCAGTTTGGTTTCTCCTCGAGACGCACCGCCAGCAGCGGGACCGAGCATCTGACAATACCGTCGCGGAGGCCCTCGGTGGCGGTTTCGCCGGCTTCCGAAGAGACGCTTCCGACCTCCGCTTCGGGCCCCACCTCCTTCCTAATGTTTCCACCTCTTAAGTCCTCTCTCCCGTTGTCCCCCCGTTGTGCCCCGTCAACCTCGGCTGGTTGACGTTTGTTGACTCCCTTTGACCTGGCCTTTTTCTTTCCAGATGGCCTCGACTTCCTTGATTTTGATACCCCAGAACCACCACCAGCAGCGCCGCCACCGTCGCCGGTGTTTCCCTTCAAATCTTCGCTGTGATGCTCGAACTGTCGTTGGTCCCACCAAAGAAGGTTTTGGTCGTTTCCTGCGGAAACTAGCAGCTTCGGATCAAAGCTTGGGTAATGCACCTGTACGGACATGAAACCAGACATACACGATGCGACGAGACATTTAAGACATGATCCGAATTGGCGGACAGAACTATCAATCTGGTTTCGCGAGGCGCCAGAATACCAACTCCTCTGTCGCGTTGCAACACCATGAACGAGACCAAAACCAGCAAGCACCGAAAAGGAATGGCCGTTTCAGCAGCCTGTGGCAGCTCACGTGCTGGTGGAGCACCTTTAATAAGCAGGGCATCAAGAAAAGTCTGAGCTAAAGCTTAAGTGTGGACCGTTGCCCGGGACACAGTACCTGAGATACTGGGGCGGAATGACCGTCACATCGGCCAACAGGCGCGCGAGTTTTTGCGTCAACTACAACGACACCACTGTCGCCAAGTCCAGCCGCCAGGAAACAGCCGTCCGCGGTGAAGTCCACCGAATGGACAAAAGGGGGGTTGAAGAGCTGGAAAACGGCAGTTTCCAAAAGAAGGGGGGGGGGAATGGAGTGCGGGGAGGAAAGGGTAGTCTGATCTCTGGGGTAATCTGCGGGTTCAATATCCGCACACATCGACATATAGGTAAATATCAGAAAGCGAGGTTTGAGCACGTCCTGCGGACGGCAGAAAATGAGAACATCAGCGCTTCGTGTGTTCGAGCATGCAAAAGTTGTGCTGATGTGCCTACGTGTATGCACAGATCAAAATGAAAAGAAGGCCCTAGTCCTTCATACTTGTGAGATAATGCTTGGTTACCTTGGTAAGAAATATGGGACAATCACGGCGTGGAAAGACCAAGACCGTCCCGGTATGCCTACACACACCGCAGATAAATTACCAGGCGCGCACAGATGACATTCAAACGGAGTAGACATGCACCTGTTGCGGCGAGCAGCTGGAAGCAGAAGAAACAGAAGGAACACATGAACCCTCCAAGAGGTTCAGCTTTCGACGGACTCTGCCGGTGCTGAAATCCCTGTAAGGACCAAGGACGGAGGATGGGAAGCACCTTTGCTGGACAATGACTTCGACACACCGCAACCAATGGTTGAATTGGAACCATCGTGCGATAGGTATAGGTGGGGGACACGTGGGCGCGAAAACAATTAAACAACCGTCGCATGCTGGTGCCAACTCTCAAATGGACAGTGTATTTCGTTGTCGGGCCTCCCACCCTGCGAGTCAAACGTCCACATAGGGGCTAGACTAACGCAATACCAGCTGAACACCTATCCATGACTGTGTACGAACCAAAACACCAGCGTGCTGTCAAGCGCTCCCGAGGCGATGTCCCAACTCGTTCGAGGGCGGAAGCGTACCGCGTGGCAAATGTTCTTGGTGGGGTAGGGCACGGACATGTAAAGTGAAATAACGACGGGAGCAAAGAGGGCAAAGTCGAAATAACATCACGAGCGAAGGGATGGGTCGTTCGTGCAGCAACTCGCGACATGGCTTTGAGCCCGAAATACTACCACGTCCTCACGAGCTAGAGCACCCTCCGAAGAAGCCCATTCGAAACGCATTCCAGGCAGATGGCGCTCTTTGTTAATGTGGGTTGGTTGGAGGAAGGTATCAAATTGACTGGGAAGCACCGAAAACGACAGGCGATGATCAATAGCAAATATCAACACCCAAGTGCCCGTTACCGCCATCACAGCTAGCCAACGACGGTGTGCTTACCGTATGGGCGCTCCGCAGGGTCTTGTCCACCCTGCGTGTTCTAGTAGTGTAAACTTTTACTGTCCCGGAATCGTCCGCCGCTGCCAAGTAGTCCCCCTTAGGGTGCACCGCTAACTCGTTCACTTCTTCCTGTTGATAGCATACAAAACGATGCGAAGATCGAAGGACTGAAAAATGTCTGATGTCTCCCTGGACCCACATACAAGAAGAGTGCGTGAGTGCGCACGCATGTTGATTCCGACGTACAGACGTTTTAGACGATTCGTTACACTTTTGTCCAAGTGCCGTTTGCGCCGTTTCTTGGGGTGCTACTGCTGAAGGGATTCTCCTGTCGCGTGCGGTAGTGTCCTTGACGGTGGTAGGGCGTTCACACACTTTGGAGAGTGAATACAAGATTGGGAGCACCATTGCCTCAGGTTGTTCATACCAGGTACATGGAGAGTGATTCCGGTACATTCTATGGATGACAGCAAATTGGTTTGATGGGGGGAAACACTGCTTAGGTTTGGGTGAAAAATATCGATTCGCCTCGCTCGGGTTACTACGGTCTCGGAATTGTTGTTGTGACGGCAGCCGAGGCTTTCTTGCGCGCACCTCGCCATCGTCGAAAACTTCGGTGGGGCTTGTCATCAAAAGCGCGCGACTCCCCCCTGATGACCGAAGATCAAATTCGAGCACCTGAAGCCATGACGGAATATCAGTTAACTTCCAGGTTTGGAGTGACAAACAATGCACATACTTATTGGGAAGGGCACTGCTGGTGTCGTTGAACGACGCTATTAGTTGGGGTGTAATGCGCAGGTCATTTGCACTCTGTGTCGGAATCAACTTCGTTGTCTCCTACAAACCGATCAATCGCGGTAGCGGCGCATGCATGTATGGTGTTTCCGTGCCTCTGGATGCAGATGTTCCAGCAAGCAAGACGGCATCCTGCTTCAAGTCCAAGGCGAAACTCAGACCTTGCCGCCAGCCGAACAGTACAGGTGATGCGCGCCGTGCGCGCCGAAGACGACGCTGGACACGGCCTCTCCACCAAAACACCGACAAAGGCACATTGCCACTCGCGGTGAAAACGTTGTTCCCGATCCCGCGGGACTTCTTGCAGTAGCACCGTCTCGTAAGTCCCACAGTCGGACTGTGCTGTCCTCTGCGCCTGTTGCGACCAACGCCTCTGCCGCCTGCGGAATCCGGCAGCGATGAGAGCAGCAGCAACAGGAGAGCACTGGAGAATCAGTAGGGGAGAACGAGAGGAGAAGGGGGGAGGAACCTCGCACCACGAGCACAACAGCAGGGAGGTCTTTCTGATGTTGGTATGTGATATACCATCATAAGCTACGTGCCACGCAAAAAATCACGGCTGGTTTCCGGGGTACGGTGGACCTTAAAGGTTCTACGATTCAAAAATAGGTTAACGTTGCTGGATCCTGTAGACTCTGTAGACATGCATGTTCCTGCACCTTCCGTCTCGGAGGTGTGGAAGTTGCACCGCATACTCTGCACACAAGCACTGAACAAGTGTGCAGCAGTAGATCCTTCCTTGGGTGCTGCAAGGGTGCTGCAAGACAAGGAACGTATTCCTTCTGTATCTTCCAGGTGTGGCCCTGCATGGCGTACCCGCCATCCCTCGTTCCTTCTAACACGGGAACGACATATACCGCACAGCGCGAGAATGTATCAAACCACATAATAATCAGCACGCCGACACCCAGTGAGGACTCGCTTGTCACCTTCGCTTCTGGGGCAGCGATGCAAAGCACTTGGCCTTTATGTCCTAGGAGGCGGCTGAAGACGGAATATCCGCCGTTTGGTTGTGGGGCTGCCATGCTCTCTGTTCAGAGAGGAAAACGGCAGGGGCAACAAGAGAGGAAGAGGTGCGGTGTGCGGGATCAGTGTGTCGGCTGTGTGCTCGGCGCAATGGCATCCTAACAGTCCCGGCAACAGATCTCCGAAGATGTTGCCCGATCTACGATGACCCAGCCAACCAGCGCCATCCGGGGACACCCTTCCGCCATCACTCCCTCGCTCGCAAGGCCCACGGTTCGGTGCAGAGTGGAGGGCGTTCAAGAGCTACACCAATAATCTACGAAGTCTCCCACACAGCAGTGTGTGGGAGACTTCGAAGATTATTGCGTACCTGGCAAGACAGCGAGGATAGCATAACCTGCTGGCCACCCACCAGCAATTCTTGAAGTTGGTTCGGTCTCGTTTCACTGAGAATCTAACGCATGCGTGCCAGCTGGAACACCTGCTGTAGCCTTCCTTGCAGTTAAAAAAAATGGCGTGAGAAGTTGAGCCCAGGTGTCGGGACGGAATAGTCCACAGTTTGTACACGTGGGCACAATTGTCAAAACACCGTCATCAGGCCTTGAGACTTGCTCAAGATCGGTGGTCTCACGGTAACATGTCATTCGATGCTATAATTTTCCGATTCTATGTAGAGCCTTCGGCCGCCATGACGCCGTAACCCTTTCTTCACGATTCCTTCTGAAGGGCGCGCAGGAGGCTTGTCGGTGTCTTACCGGACATTTCCGGAGCTCTCCAGGCATCTACCCGTGGCTCGTGAGCAAGACGCCTGAAGGTGCGGGGACTGGTTCGATATTCTGGCTGCGTGTTCGCCAAAAGAAAGCCCGGCGAACCAATCTTGCACCCGTTTGTAGAGCTACCACGTGTGCTGGTTCCCAAAAAAACAAAAAACAAGAGAACTGGCCACGAGCCCGCATGCTCGTTTCGAACGTTTCTCCCAACTGCAGAACACGCTAATCATCGTACGTAACCCCATGATGTCATCTTGCATCACCCCTGGCACGATACCGACGTCCCGGGACGTTGTACATGCTTCAGAATGATTCTCTGGCGTGTTACCGTTTTTCCTCAGAAGTATCGTTGGAGGGAAATGACTACAAAAGACAACAGCACAACTCGCGCAAGGGCTTCCGTGTGGAAACGGTATGGCATAAACCCTCACGCGAGAAAGCAAACCTCATCCTAAATCAACGCAGCACGTCTTTCATGAATATCGATTAAATGTCATGGTCAACCGTCACATATCTGAAGTTGTCGACGAGCGAACGAACCCAGGTTCATATCTCGTGAAGGAAAACTTATCCGTGCCCCAATCTGTCATCACCGTCATCACAGTACGATTACTCAACTCCAACAGCCCAAGTAGAGACGTCTTACACGTGCCAAATGTACACACAGAGAAGGAGGGAGCCTAACTGAATTCGGTCCACATAGAATCACAACAAACGTTTGTGTGGTGGGTTCCAGCGTTTAACGTTCCAGGATCTAAGTGCCTCCAGGGTTTGTGTTCCTTCCTCTTGATCCCGCCACACTGCATCTCCTAGGATGATGTTCACAACTAACGCCGCCGACACCCTTGCCCCAGCATGACACACAGGATCTACAGTACGCCCACATAAACGTAGCTAGCCAGCCTTTCTCCGTCGGCCTTTCTCGGCACTTTCCTTCGGCCAGCTATTGCGCGTGGCTCGGCACTGTCATCGCGACATGTCCAACAACACCTAATCGACCGGAAAAGTCAGCGGGTGGAGGAAGACGCAGGGTGCAAAGATGAGAGGTGGATACAAAAAAAATGAAGTTGGCTATATAGATGGGGACACAGGAATCTGGTGATCGGACTGGGATGGCGCCGGTCGTTCACCGCCGCAGAGGGACGCGGAAATACTCACCAAGAACCGGAGTTAGAACGATGGTCGAAAACATGGTCGGAAACATGTTACTGAGTCTGATACACACCGGCCGCGCCGCTTGTTCAGTCGGCAGTCATCGGCACAATGAATGAAGGTTGGCGTTCGTTTCCCGGCAACGTGTGACTCCTTGCTGTACAGCGCTGCTGATAGCGTGTTTGCGAGTGCACATGGCGGGAAGCAACTATTTGCCAGTAACTACCCCTGAAAACAAAGTACGTACGAGCCCGGAAGTGGAGCTCTTAAGTTGAACGCGAAACTGGTACGTAGAACAATTCGCGAGCAACCAAAACACATGGAACGGCTGAGAAATAACAAGACCAACAGCAGCTGCGTCGGTGATGAATTTTGGTCCCGAGAGTTCAACCTAAATGAAAAGTATTCACGGAACGACTTCGAAGACACACCGTTGCGGGAAAAATAGATTCCTCACCTTTCGACTCCGATAAGGCTTCCTTGCCTCCTTCATTGCCTGCGAAAATTGTGTGAACCGATGTCGCTCCAGGAAGGAGCGCAGTCTGCCAGACTTAATCATTTCGGCCACGTCAGCTGAACCACAGCAGGCAAAGGGGCCAGACGAGGACGAAAGCGAGTGAAATGATGTTCCGAGAATAGGAGCAGGGGCCGAGTAGTCGTGGTTGAAAAAAAGTCGATGAGGAAGAGTGACCTGCTGCCGAACATGTTCGAACCCACACATGTTTTCCACACTGATCAGCCATACCGATCATTGCCTCCCGCTCCTCTCTTGGGCGATCCTGGGTCCACCTCGTTATCCAGAACCCATCGCACCGCACCCCTTTATCCTGAAGCAGGTGTGTGCAAAGCGGCGACGAGCAAGCTGGGTGGGTTCATGCTTCGGGGTGGTACAGCAGCACAATCCAAAGCAATGCGTATTGTATCCTGCAAGACGTGCTGCAACATCTCGAAACACGCCATGGGAGCGCCATGGGCTACCGGCGCCATGTTCTTCTCGTCGGAGCAAAGCTCAGGCGACGCCGCTAAAGGCGCACACTGCTATTCTCGACCGCACTAAAACTTGGTCAGCCGCTACCTCCGGTTGCACACGCAGCATGATCATGGTTTGGCCAACGTTGGCTTGGCGTGCCCTGTTTCGACCAGCGCAGAGGTTAGGGTTTTAATGGCTTGTGGCCTACATGATCAGCGGGGAGAATCGTCTGTCCTCTGACCCTCGGGTGGTCACTTGAGTCAAAACGAAGCATCACATGAAGGGGGAGGAGCATCGCACCTGCAAAATGGTCGCAGGAAGTGTGATCGGCCGAAGAGACATGCCTCCGTACGAAACTAAAGCTCCGCCCTCATCCAACTGTTTCGCCACCTGTGCGATGGGTGCAGTGGATGAGGTGTTCCGCAGAGCAAAGGCGGGTCATGGTTCTGATCAAACTTCATGCAACCCCACTACGGAGCCCCCAGAGCCAACACCGAACGAGCCTCCCACGCACGGTTGGATTGGAGCGGGGGGGCCCATGAGGAAGCTTCGCATCCGTACTGGGTTGCTCCGCCGTGACCGAACCCGAGGAGGACCAGCAAAGAGAGCGACGCACCAATCGGTTCAGCAACACCCAGGACGTCCTCTTCGAGCATGCGCCTCTCAAAACCGTGTCCGACGAAATGGACGCGCACACAAGACAACAAACACTACGAGTGTTTGCCGAATCCCTAGCTGCCGCAACAACGCCGAGGGTTACCAAATTATTCCAAACAGAGGAACGAGCCAAGCTGCAAGAAGGGGTCATGGCAAAAAAAACAAAACCGTGTGACAAAAAAAAACACGCATGTCTCAGGTGAGGATCGACTCACCGAGGTCGCGATTGAACCCCCAACGCAGTTGAGCCCCAGCCTAGGCGGCGGGAGGCCGGCCACGGCCTCGGCGTAGTCGTCGGCGACCCCGAGAACGGCCGGGGTAACGACGACGTCGGCGCCGAGGGACTTGAGAAGCTCTACGGTGTTGTCGCCGGGTGGTCTGCAGCAGGGGCGGCAGCGGTTGCGGACGTTGTGCATCGGGTGTGAGCAAGGGCATGGCAGGGAAGCTGGTACTACACTGCAACCAAAGCAATGACATCGATTCAAGATGACCGAGGGCCAAAGCTCACCGCTCCCTGACGACGTTGATGGTCCGCACGCCCATATCTCTCGCCATCTGGATCACAGCCACGCCAACCTTTTTGATTTGTTTCGGTATCAATCATTAACAAAGTTGAGAAGATCGAACGGGAGCGAGGGTCTGAGCGAATCGACAAGGTTACTTGGAATGTGACATGAGTGTTTTTGAAGATAACCATCAAGCGTGCTACGCGACCCAGCGGTGAAACTTTCGCGCGAAGACGGAGAGATGCTGCCACTGGGGTGCTACGGGAGGGTGTGAACTACGTTCTTGTGACACACCACTGCTCGGCGATACTCAATGCCCACGCTGCGGCATGCAACAAATCAAAATCTTAGCCTTTGAGCTGATAAAAAAATGTGGCGATGCGTCAATATTGTGACGTTGTCGATGACACCACCACACTATACCCCGGTAGATGAACATACCGCAGGCCACGCACACCATGTGAGTGATCACAGTGTTGCAGACAAGGAAACACGGAGACACGTACTCCACGGAGGAATTTAGCGTGTTCTATGAAACAACACCAAGGCCGTGGAACACAGTAATCTCCCTAAACAAGACGATCCCACCATAAACTCGCCGTCATCGTGAAAAGGCAGACACTCTGCTGGCGGACAAGGGCCGTGAGATGCGTTCTTGGCAACAAGACCTTGAAAGGTGAGAAAGAAGAAGGTTCGCCACCCAGGCGGCTGTTGTCTCATGTGCGACCATCATCTACCATAGCCGCCTCGAGGATCTGCTTGATAATCCCCATCCGATGGTCTTGAAGGACACGGGAGGAGGCGGTATCCGAGAGCCAACGGCGCCTCTTTGGGAACATGTCCAGGCATGTTCTCGATACGGTTTTCGATGACGTTGGAACCCCTCTCCGCAGTCTCGTTGCATCAGGCGGGCACCCCCCTCAAGAAAAAAAAAGAAGGAAAATAACTTTCATGGTAGCCAAGGACGTCGGTGGCGTGCGAAAAGAGCCAAGGGGAAGCATTCCACCGTGTCGTCTTACGGTCCCAGTGTTGGGATGTAAACTTTGTGATAGGTGTATCCCCGGCAATGGCCACTGTGTAGTCACAGTGTGCAGAGGCTCACAGAGTGACTGTCAAGTACACTTGTGTTGTAGACCACAAGATATGGTTTGAATTGGCGCTTAGTTGGCCGCAAGTAGACAAAGAGAAAATAGAGAGTGAGCGAGTGGGGGCGAGCACTACGGGGGCGAGCACTAAGGGGGCGAGCCATCCATCGTCATCACAGAAAGGAAACACACACCGGCTATTGCAACGTACCGATCACGGTAATAGACGGTCAATCCAACCCATGACAACATTACTAGAATATCCTATAGGACAAAAGTCCCATGTACCATACTTGTATGGTTTGATGTATGACCCGTACGTGTGTACAATGATCCGATTACTGAATCAACATACCGAATACTATTCCGGTAATACTCCTTAGGTGGATACCTACTTTGCTGTTTACAGCAGTGCAAACTCTCATGACTGACACTGAGTATTCCAACACCCAGCACCAACCAACCTGGCTGTTCGCCCCGTTCTGGATTACGGTGTCGCCCTCCCGGAGGGTCTCGAAGTCGCGTAGAAGGCGGTACGCGGTACAGGGGTTGACGCCGATAGTCGCCGCGTATTCGGCCGGAATGTCTGAAGGGCACTTCTGCAGCATCGACTGCGGGACACGACCGAGTCGAAAGCAGGCGATTGGGACGGTGAACGGCGTGAATCGGCGATCGACGACGATAACTGCTTGAAGTGCGGACCAACGGTTCTGCACCTCTCGAGTGAGGTGGGAGGGTGAACATTCTCTATAGCCCCTACAGTACAGCAGTGGGAGTCACATAGCAATGCTGTCGTGGTAGGGTCGCCTTGGTCTTCTTCGCCTACACAGGGGGGAGAGGGTAGCACTGCGCAAGGAGGTATTTATTCGTGTAAAACGATCTACCTAGTCAGGTTCGCAACCTCTACCGATTCCTCAAGAGCCTAGCCACTGTCGGTCGCGCAATACACAATACACAACCTGGATGCAGCGATGGACAAAGAATTCTCATACTTCGCATTATGCGTCAAGCGAACTCAACCGCTGGTTGATGCCAAACAACTCGAACTCTGACCGTATGGCGCTTGTTCAGAAAAGAAACGCGGCAAACCATCGCTCCAACCACAAAGCGGTTTCGTGCTTCGCCAGGCAGAGCAAGCAAGGCCGCACATATCGTGTGGGTCAGCGGATTCTGCAGGGCTGCAATTATTGCAGCAGCAACCGTTCCGGGGTACGTACGTGGCCCTTGTCAAGAGGAAATCCGACGTCTTGATTTCCGTTCAACACATGAATTCCTCGAAATCCAAAGTCGGGTTTTCATCAATCCATCCACAGTGCAATACAACGAGGACGAGTAAGCATGGCTTCCGACGACTACACCCAGCGGCTGTTGTCCAACAAGGCCGGTCACAACACACACTTGGCGCGCCAAGGTCCCACGAACACACGGGTTGAATTTATGCTCACAACATCGGCTTTGCCGACGTTCCTCCAAGTCCCGAAGCCGGCCGCCGGCATAGGCACCGCCCAGTCCCCGACCGCCAGCCGGGTCACATCCGACCCTACCGCCGTGACCTCTCCAACGCCCTCGTTGCCACCCACCGCGGGCAGGGTCGGCAAGACGCCGTACGATCCCTCCACCTGTTGTTGCAGTGGTCGTCAACTATCGGCGTTCGGATGTTGCAGTTTCGCTGCAGTGGTTGGTGGCATGCTCGTTGCGGTAGGTGTCGAGCCCGCTGCGCATCATCCACTGTGCCATATGCTGCAGTTGGCGCCCGCACTGAGAACTTGTTTGTCAAGAATAAATACACGGGAATGTTTAGTATAGTATAGTATGTTTAGTAGAGTATGGAGAACCTGTACTAACGGCTGAGTAGAGTAGAGTATGAGAGAGGTGAATACTCTACTCACCTGAGTAGAGTACAGAGGTCAGGTACTGAACTCAAAGAGTATGTTTAGTAGAGTATGAAAAGCCGTACTAAACCGCAAGAGTACGTTGAGTAGAGTATGAAGAGCCATACTAAAATGTGAGTATGAGTAGAGTATGAAAAGCCGTACTTCCAAAAATTTTAGTATAGTACGAAGAGCTGTACTAAACGCCACAGTATTCTTAGTAGAGTACGAAAAGCTGTACTAAACGCCACAGTACGTTTAGTACAGTATGAAGAGCTGTACTAAACGCCACAGTACGTTGAGTACAGTATGGAGAGCCATACTGAACGCCACATTGAGTACAGTATGGAGAGCCATACTAAACGCTTAGTACAGTACATGTACTGACAATACTGACAGAAAAACCACTACTCCGTACGAGCGTTGATTTGATTGCATGATAAACATCAACATCAACATCAACATATTACACCCCCCCCCCC